GTACGTTTCCTAAAATTGTGGCTCGTTAACGGGCACAACTTTAGGAAGTACTGGTAGTTTAAACCACCACTTCTTCTCCCAGGCAATCCTTTGCAGCAAAGTTGACCGGCAGCGCATTCTTTGGGAGCGCACCCCCCCCCCCTGGAACCTCGTCGGCTGAGGGGGCCAGCAAAAAAGAAGAAAAAAGAGCACCTTGCGGGTTCGTTTTGAACTTGGTGTGAAGCACAAACCCACCATGGGAGAAAGAGGCTCCGAGGTAGTGGTGGTGTAAGGGGGTAGCCGCTAACATCATTAGATTCATCCGGTCCATCGGGATGGATTCAGCACCTCGGTCAGCCAGGAATAGCTCCCCCCCGCCCTAACTGAAGCCAGGCCTGCAAACATGAGGCCGAGCCTGAATACAGGCCAACGTGAGCAGAACGGGTCCCCCAGGTATTTGCTCCACACACGCGCAGCGTCTTCAAGTAACTGCCACTAGTTAGTTGAAGATGCTGGGCCTCGTGCAGATTCTCGAAGGGCACAGGGCACAGGGCACAGGCAACAGGGACTGGGTGGTGTGAATACGGTATGTCCTGCTTGTCCAAAACCCCTCCATGTGTCGTTAATCTGAGTGCCGTCTCAGTCACATCCGAGGGTTCCGAGGTTTGTGTCATTTGTGTACGACGAGTCGATGACATTTGAACTCACGACCCATTTTCGCACCACTCAGCCAATGGGCAGATCATCATCCTATACAGCTCAGCTCTGGCTTCTCCTAGTTTCTCCCTCACCCTTGCAAACACGAAAGCAGACAAATCCATAACGTACCAGCACATGCACAGGCAAACACTAAAAGGCAAAAAATAAAAAAGATAAAAAAGAAATGAATGTTAAACAACAAATGAATAAGCACAGTGGCCAACGAGATCAGGGCACTTACCTGATAAACTCCAAACTAAGAAAGAAACAAAACCACCAAGGAATGAGATGAGGGCATTTATCCGAGCAAATTCTAGACGCACCTTTGCCACGACTGCTGGATGTTGCATTGCATGTTGCAGGAGCACCCCCTGCGTCCCCCTGAACCATCGACGATGTGAAAGAAGTGACAGGCAATGAAGATGCACGAGGAGCATTGGCAGCAGATGAAAATGCAGGAGAAGGGGTGGCCGAAGATGGTGTGCATATCCATCCCCCTTGCTCTCCGTGTTTCTGTATCGACTTTGCTGGGCGGTCATCAGTATTCTGCAATCCTTGAGAGGATCCACTGCCAACTTTTCCCTTCCCCTTTGCCAGTTTCCGAAGCCTCTCCAACTCCTGTGCCTCTTTTGCCGCCTCAAGTTTCGTTAACTTCGCTTGCGCTCTTGACAATTCCTTGACGGCCTTCGCTTGATTCGCTTCTGCGCGTGCCTGTCCTGCGGCGAAACGGTCACACTTTGCCAGCAATTCGGTGTACTGCTTCCTGCGAGCTCCAACGGCCTTGAGCAATGTGTCGATCAGCTCATCCTTGTTCCGGCATTTGTACATTTCGACGATCTGGTCTTCGCTCACCTGCGGTTCGTCAATCACTTTAGCAGCACGGACATGTTTCTCCACCTTCTCCAATTTCTCTTTCAGCTGTCCGTTTGATTCCCTCGCCCGCCGAAGATCCTGCAGCAAACGAGAGGCGGCATCCTTGGCAACAGCGGCATGAGTCTCCGCCTCTTTCTGTGCTTTCTCTGCCAACTCCACCCGCTTTTGGCACTCAATGATCTTCAACCTGAGCTGTTTGTTTTCATCACCGTGTTCCTGGAGAATCTTTTGCATCGCCGACAGCTGATTGGCCATTGCTTCCCGGCCAGGGAAGCGAGTGGGCAGCTCATCGCCATTGTCATCTTCCTGAGATGACGAGTCCCGGCCTGGGCTTCTTGCGTTCGATTGCTCCGAAGCAGACTGAAAGTAAAGCTTGTGGACATCACTGCGAGTATAGTTCTGTTTACAGACCGGGCAAGCCGGCTTCCGACTAGCAGGACAGTAATCCAGCCACTTCTGCAGGCACTCATCATGGAAGACATGCCCACAGACAGAAATACTCTGCAGATCTTCTAGCGCTCGTGCATCGGAGAAGCAGATCGGACAAATCGGAGTGCAGAAAGGGGGCATTGGAAACACATGTAGGACAGATTTGAAGTGCAGAAAGGGGGCATTAAACTTCCCTCAAAATGGGCCAAGGGGGTATACTCTGCAGATCTTCTAGTGCTCGGAAATTTTGAAGCACAGATAGGGCAAATTAGAGTACAGAAAGGGGGCATTACAGGCGTCGGAAATGGAGATGGGGTAGTACAGTTCTCTCATGGGTGCAAGGGGGCATCACAGTTCCCTCAAGAGGGACACAGGGGTGTATATAGGATAAATAAGAGTGCAGAGTGGGGGATGTTACAGTTATCTCATGGGGGGCAATGGGGCATTACACTTCTCTCAAGGGGGGCAAAGTGGTACACTCTGCTGATCTTCTAGTGTTCATGAAGATTCAGAAACGGAGAAAGGACAAACCGGAGTGCAGAATGATGGCATTACAGTTCTCTTGAGGTGGGGCAAAGGCTCATACTCTGCAGATCTTCTAGTGTCTGGGCAGGACAAGCATATAAGACAAATCAGACCGCAGACAGGGGTCATGCCAGTTCTCTCTACCGGAGTAAAGGGGAAAATACATAGACCCTCGTCCTCTCCCGTCTACTACCAGACTTTAAGCCCCTGGCACTGAGTGCAGCACACGGCGAGTGGTGGATAAAAACGGCTTAGACGATGAAGAGGAAGACGGAGCAAGCAACCAATACGTAACACATAGGTAGCAAACCGCTATGTGCAGAATTGAGACAAAGACAAGGAGGAAAAAAAATGGCACTCAAAATGAAGCAAATGAATCGGTTGTGATTCCTCGGGACAAGACCACTGTCCTGTCATTCGGCGGCACTGGTTGCAGCGGTCACAAATGCTTGGCTGGCAAAGATAACCACCTGGATAAGAATGTGGATAAGATAACGAATATAGATCAGCACCTACACCCCTGGCCATCGGTTGCATTTACTCTCAATCAGGTTCTCTGGATAGAAATACCCAAGCCATTAGAGCGCAGAAGAAGAGGAACCAAGGAGGAGGAGAAGAGAAAGCTGCAGAAGGCACAGGGAGGAGACAAAAAGACAGCAGCAGCAGCAGCAGCAGCAGACGACGACGACGACGACGACGACGACGACGACGAAGAAGAAGAAGAAGAAGAAGAAGAAGAAGAAGAAGAAGAAGAAGAAGAAGAAGACGAAGAAGACGNGACGATGAAGAAGAAGAAGAAGAAGAAGAAGACAACGACGACAACGGCGACAACGGCGACGACGGCGACGACGACGACGACGACGACGACGACGACGAAGAAGAAGAAGAAGAAGAAGAAGAAGAAGAAGAAGAAGAAGAAGAAGAAGATAGCAGGAGGAGGAGGAGGTGGAGAGGGAGAAGGAGAGGAGGGTAAGGAGGGTGAGGAGGGTGAGGAGGGTGAGGAGGGTGGGGAGGTGGAGGATTTCCATCGTCGAAGAAAAATCCTTGCCTCCAACTACGAGGACACACACAGAAAATAGAAAAGGGGGGCGGGAACGAGACTTAGGAGACGGTACCACAAGCAATTAACAGCAATCAACTACTTCAGCTTAAGAGAAGACAACAGATGTCAAACAGATCAAGCAGCTGACCGATGTCGACACTTATTTGAGAGGAATCAACAGCAACCAACTGTTAACGTCAATCCACAACTCTTGAGCGGTACAAGAACAAAGTTAACAGCAACCAACATGTCTCAAACGGTACAGGGACAAAATAACAGCAAAGTCGACGGCTGCCGAACAAAAGATTGGTGATCAAAATGTTAACAGCAACGTCGGCAAGTGAAGAGAGTTTCAGAAATGTTTTCTTTTTTTCCATTACTTTCAATTGGCTGGTTGCAAGTTCAAAAAATTCCTTTTGAAAAAGTTGAAAAAGTTGGAACCTCACATTCTGCTTGCTCCCGCTTTTTCCTCCCCTGGAGAAAAGCAACACTGAAAAAAAGTATACAGAAAAGAAATGCATGTTTTGTTACGCTGCTGCGTTTCCTTTCTTTTTCTCCTTTTTTTCTCTAGTACAAAAAAAAAAAAAACAGGACCTTATGCCCTGGCTCCTTGTCCATTCTCGGGAGCATCAGTCTGTTTTCTGTTCCACCGGCAAGTCAGACATATGATACAATTGACGATACCCACGAACGCATCCTTCCGTTAAGACCGAACGACCCTTGAACGATATTGATCGCTCCTTTCCCGGAGGGTTGAGTACCAGATAGCCTTTTCCTCCTCGAATTCCTCCGTCACACGATCCATGGGCCTTGCATATAACATTGAACAAGAAGGTTTGAGTACCTCCTTTTCCGGAGGGTTGAGTACCAGATAGCCTTTTCCTCCTCAAATTCCTCCTTTTCCGGACGGTTGGCTACCAGATAGCATATTCCTCCTCGAATTCCTCCGCAAGAATACTAGAAAAAGGAGTCTTTGCTCCCCGCCTGCCTTTGTCTGCCTTGCTGGGCAACAACTTCCAAAGTGACTTGGCCACCCTCCTTTATGTGCCATTCCATTTCTCACATCTCAGCCTGTTCTGATATATGACCGTTCCTATTTTGCCCTGCATCAGCCAACCGCGTGCAGACTTCCTTCTCGGCTTCTGCTTCATCGAAGCCGTTCTTCGACTTTTGTACGTTCTCATTTTGCTGATGGGTCCGTGAGAGGTCGCGGGCTGCTTCACAAGTAGAGCAGAGAGGCAAGCAACAAAGCGCTTAGCCCGGCTTGTCCTTACCTAGACCCTTGAATTTGTGTCATGGGCACATTCCTTTTCTTTCTTTCTTTCACTGCCTCCTCCTGCCTCCTCCCCACCTGCCCCGCCCCCCCCCTCCTCATTTACAAAAACTGATCATTTGCAGGCCGCGGTCCTCGTCCAAAATTTCGAGCAGTAAAATGCCCTTCACCGACATCGTTTCCTTCTTTCCCTTCCCTTTTTTTTCTTCTTTTCGAGAGAGCAACGCTCTGATGCTGTGCACCATACGAAACGAAACCCCAGCATCCACTTCAAACACATTCCAACCTTACCTGCTGCTGCTGCTCGTCTGCGACAGCAACAGGCCCGGACCTGGAGATAGCCTGTACTTGGACTCCCTCTTACCCAAGCAAATCCTGTTTAGACGAGTCTCGCAACAGCCCCATCTGGGACAGCAATAGCCCCAGACCTGGAGATCGGTCCTGCCGTTCATTTGACATACCTGCCCCCCCACCATTGACCGCCGGTCTGACAACCTGGCACCACCGCTGCTGCTCTTCTGCACCATATCTTGCTGTTCTCTGTCCCACCCTTATGGTAAATCCGCACAGTCCGGCGGTCATTCTCATTTCCTTGTCTCCTCCACCCCACTCTCTTATGGTAAGTTAGCGCAATCTAACATCGCACATATGAATGCTCATGACTACGGCCGAGTGCAAGCTTCTGCGCACAGTTGGACCGACTGCGTTCACGCTAAGGCTAATCATTTTCATGACTGCGGAGAGTGCAAGCCTCTGCTCCATATCATTGTCGTTCTCTGTCCCACCCTTATGGTAAGTCTGCACAGTCCGGCAGTCATCAGTCATTCTCATTTCCTTGTCTCCTCCATCCCATTTTTATGGTATGTTCGCACAATCTAACACCAACATAAATTCTCGCGACTACGGATGAGTGCAACCCTCGGCGCACAGTGGGACCGACAGTCTTCATGCTATAATGCTAAGATCTAGTAAGAAGCATAGCGGACACCAGAGCTCAGAAAGACTTGACAACAGAGCTCAGAAAGACTAAGTCCTCAGACCTCTGGTGAGACCGACAGTCTTCATGCTATAATGCTAAGATCGAGTAAGAAGCATAGCGGACACCAGAGCTCAGAAAGACTAAGTCCTCAGACCTCGGGCGAGACTGACGTCAGGAATGGTCTCTCTGCGGGGAGTTGGGATCAGCGTTCTGTGTCAGAGGGTAATAACATGCCGAATGTACGTACTTCTGACGAAGTAGCTTGAGGGCGAAAAAGAATCCCTCAGGGAATAATAGCAATAAGAAGAAATATTTTTTTTTGCACAGAGGAAACACATACAAAGTTACAGGCACCACACTCAGGGCAAAAAAACATCGCTCAAAAAAGGAGCTTTCAATATCGTTGGTAAGAGAGGTGAAGTAGCTTGAGCTACTGCAACAGTTCAAAGGGAATGCTGTTGCCCTAGCGAATGGACGGAGGAGCCCATAACCTGAAGGCGGACCCGTGCTCGTCATCGGAGTCGCTGTCACTCAGCAACTCAGACATTGGAATGCAGCCATCCTTCAAGAAAAGAACCACCTCCTCAGGGGATAGTGGATAGAGGGCGTGCTGAAGAGGCTCCTTGCCACGAGAGCGGACAAGGCAGTGGCCATCGTGAACTGCTGTCTGCAGCTTCGAAGTGAGAGCATCATCTCTGTTATCTGCAGAAGCGCTAGCATACCGTAGTTTTGGAGAGGAGATCCAAAGCAGACGGTTGCATGTTGTGCAATACGCACGATTAGACGACAGGAAACTTGCTCGGTCTCCTCGACAAGCCGCACGTTCAAAAGCCCTGCGCCACTGAGCCCTTCTGTCGACTACCGGTAGTCCTCGGGAACCGGGATCGAGCATACGCCCACCCCGCTCTTCCCCGCTTCCGCCCTCCTTATGCCCCCTTCGCACTCGTTCAATAGCTTCCGCTGCCGCCTCTACACCAAACAGAGCTGTGAAGTGCGCTTCCCAAAGCTCTTCATTTGATGCCGACAGCTCGCAGAAAGATCTGCAGACTGCTGACACAGCCACCAGCGACGGAGGATCGAGATAGTCCAGCACATGGGCAACCACATCCATGGGAAGATGGCTCATCTCCAAGATGTCGGCATCGCTATCATCGGAGTCGTTATCGTCATGTTTGTTATCCGATTGCTTCTCTCGTTTCGAGGTTCGATGGTTTGCGAGCGATGTTCTTCTGAACTCAGAAACTGCAGTCATTTTCCTCTGCTTTGGCAATACAGCTTGAGCGGCTCGGAGCAAGACAACCGCCGCTGCTTTCTGACGGCTCCCACCAGACTGAGGAAGCTGCTGAAACGCTGTCAGCACGTCCTGGAACACAGCCGCTTGCGCAGATTTGCTCAGAAGGTCATAGGCCGTGCGCAGAACAAGTGCCAGTTCGTGGCAGGCCCTCGCGAAGTCACCCCGTCTCCGGAGAGCCCGGTCGATCTCTAACAAGCCGTACTGGTCACATCCAATCCCTGTCTCAAATGGATTGACTGGATGAGAGGAGATCTGCAGCTCCTGCTGTGATAGCTGCTGCTGCTGCTGATCATGATGACGATGATTTTTCCCCTTCCAGTGTTGATTCCCCGGCTTATGCGAAGGGGCCATTGACAGCTGCCACTGACCAGGTCCCCCGAATAGAACGCAGGATCCCAGGTCCAATCGAGGAGGATCACAGCTGGTCGAATCAGCCAATCAAACAGCACAGAGTCACAAAGCACCTATGCAGGCATAGCCAGCCATCTACGTCTAGATTCATTCATGTCCAAATATTCTAGACATGAACAATGCACCTACGCAGGTCGAGATTCACTCATGTCCAAGTATCATACCAAGTTTACCGTGTTGCCCTCCCACTTGCAGAGGGCACCGAGTGATGCAGAAACGGAAAAAAAAAAAAAAAAAAAAAAAAGACGAAATTTCTGCGAGGGTGTGCGCAGAGGACTCCAACGGGTGGGAAACAGTTGTGGTCTGCAGACATCGCTTTCCTCTCGTAAAGCATCCTTCCCCACTTAATGAACCAGCCGGCAGCCGGGTTGAAATGCTTTTTTTTTTTTCCTTATAAAAAAGAAATACGTTATTACGCTGCTTTCCTTCCTACTGCAAAGGAGCTCATTTTTACAGGTGCTCAGGTGGAGGGGATCGCCCTGCAGCGCTACAGCAAAGGAGCTCGATTTTTCAGGTGGTCACCCGGGTGGTGGGGGTCTCGCAACAGGGCTGGTATCACCGGCCCTGCCTGCGAGAGCTCGCTGCTGGCACACCTGAGCGGGGGCCACCGTAGTGCGTTGCTGATAGCACCTGTTTATATCAGAATACGGAGCCCGATCGGGGTGATATTTCCCTGGTCTTCGATACGGAATTCGTGGCAGGAGCCTTTGGTGCAAAAGCTGCCGGTGCTTTGCAAACGAGCTTTCCGGAATAGGGCGCGATGTCTGGTTGTTCGTTGTTGATACCTGTCCTGAATTTTTGGGCATGGTGGGCCTTTCTCCACTACTCACCAAATGTACAAATTGAGAATGAATATTTCCCTAGAACGTGGAAAGATACACTGCCTTGCTTTTTTTCTATTTTGAGCATGTGGTGAGCAGTGGAGCGAGGCCCATGATGTCTGGTTTCATGTTGTTAAATCTTTCAAGAGCTGGAGACATCTCGCCAGTACTTTCAGAGAACTTTCTTTTCTTTCCGCACTGCTGCCGGAGGAGATTCTGTGGTGGTTGGCAGGTGCTACCATCTTCATCCGAATACAACGCCCGGTAATTATCGCCGTATCTGGACTGAAAGTTGCACAAAATACAGCTGTAATGCCCGGGCGTTCTATTCGGGTGACGACGGCAGTGATGGATTTTGTTCTGGAGAAAGGGTTTGAACTTTGATAAGTATTTTTTGTTGACTTCACAACCGTTTTTTTTTCGGAACTTCACAAATGATAGGATTGATGACATCCATTGAAATTGGAACGATACAGAGAAAGAAGATTATTAGCATGGCCCCTGCACAAGGATGATGACAACAACAACAAAAAAAGAAAAAGAAAAGGATCGATGAATAGGGCGCGAATGGGGTGTGACGTTTGATGATGGTTCAGTTGTTGTTACTCTTTGAAGTGTCGGAGAAATATCGCCTGAACTTTCAGAGACCTTTCCTTCCGGGATGATGCCGGAGGAAATTTGGTGGTGGATTTCGTTCTGGAGAAAGGGTTTGTATATGTGTTTGTTGTTGACTTCACAACCAATTTTGGAAATCCACATGTAATAATAAGATGAATGGAAAAAAAAGAAAAAAAAAAAAGATTAATGAATAAGGTCCTTCTAGGACATCCGTTAAAATTGGAACGATACAGAGAATGAAGATTAATTATTAGCATGGGCCCTGCGCAAGGACGACACGCTTATATTGAGAAAAGAATGGTCCAAAATTTTCTCTTTCTCCAAGGGAAAAAAAAAAAAAAAAGGAACAAAAAAAAAGAAGGGATTAATGAATAGGGCCCGAATGGGGTGTGATGATTGGTGGTTTGGTTGTTGTTCTCTTTTTTTTTGTTGAAGTGTCCGAGAAATCTCGCCAGCACTTTCATAGGATTTTGTTTCTCCGGTGAGTTTTTTTTTCTTTTCTTTTCTTTTACCTTTTTTTTTTTTTTTTTTTGAAAGGGCGACGACCTTGAGATATCATCATTGAACTGACCGGCCCCAGGTAATTCAGAATTGTTATTATTATTATTATTTTTATTTTTATTTTTTATTATTTTTATTCTGGTCATCAGATTGTATCTGGATTCGAACTTGGATCTGTATTTCAACAGTTCGTGGGTGAGAGTTTTTTTTTTTTTTTGTGTGTGGGGGGGGGGGGGGGGGGGGGGTGTCGAGTTTTTGCTATGGTGATGCCGGCCGAAGACTTTCTTTGTGGCTGGTGGTTCGTTCGTTAGCGTAGTACCATCCTTACCCGAATAGAACGCCCGGTCATTATAGCTGCATTTGGTGCAACTTTCAGTCCAGATACGGCGACAATTACCGGGCGTTGTATTCAGGGGAAGAAGGTAGTAGTAGGCGTGTTGTTAGTGATGTGTTGCTGATGCTATGGTTAGTGTATACTACCCTCTTCCCTCTGAACACAACGCACCCGAATTGTGAATGTATACAAGCTATAAATCCAGTCCAATACAGTCACATTGAGAAGATGCATAGGGAGAAGATCCTCGTCAGGGTTTGTACCACTTATATGTTGGTGGTTTTAGGGTTTATCCCACCCTATTCCCCCGAATACAACATCCTAATTGTGAATGTATACAAACTAGGAATCCGGTCCCATACAGTCACATTTGAGAGGGTACATTTGGGAGAAGATCGTAGTGGTGAGTACGGCTTTTTTAAGGGTTAACTGGTTTTAGGGTTTATACTACCCTCTTCCCCCGAACACAAGGCACCCTAATTGTGAATGTAGATAAGCTATAAACCCGGTCGGGTACAGTCACATTTGGGAGAAGATCGTCCTGGTGCGGACGGCTTTTTTTAAGGGTTCGTGGTTTTAGGGTTTATACTACTCTTCCCCCGAACAGAAGGCACCCTAATTGTGAATGTAGACAAGCTATAAACCCGGTCCGGTACAGTCACATTTGAGAGAAGATCGTAGTGGTGAGGACGGCGTTTTTTAAGGGTTGGTGGTTTTAGGGTTTATCACTCTCTTGCTTTCGCAATGCGTAGGGACGGTGATGGTATGAGAGATGAGAGCATCGACGTTTTTTGTTACGGGGAGAGAGAAGGAGAGAAAGGGAGAGAGAGAGGGGGAGAGAGGGGGAGAGAGAGGGGGAGAGAGAGAGAGGGAGAGAGAGAGAGAGGGAGACAGAGGGAGAGAGGGAGAGAGAGGGAGAGAGAGGGAGAGAGGGAGAGAGAGGGAGAGAGAGGGAGAGAGAGGGAGAGAGAGAGGAGGGTTGATAGCGATAGAAAGTGCTTTTCGTTGATTATAGAGTTAGGGTTTTTGAAGATCGATGCCTGATGGGATTGCGGAGGGAACGAATACTTTGTCCTCCTTTTGTTTTTTTGTTTTTTCTTCTGTTTTTTTTTCCGTTTTTTCTGTTTTTTTTCCTCTTTTTCTTTTTCTTGTGTGTGTTTTTAAGTGGGGATGGATGCTTGGTGTTCATTCATCTTGTTGTTGAGATGGGACCACGCCGGGTCCCAGGGGGTTTGGTCCATGGGCACCACGTCGTCCCAGGGGGTTCGGCCCAAAGCGGAGAAGAACCAAGTGCGCCCCGGTTCGGGCCAGTGGTTCGGCGCAGAGGGGGGAATTGGAACCAACTGGGACCAAGTGGGACCAAGTGGGAACAACCCAGCCCAGGGGGTGTCGTAAGCAGGACCACGCCACGGACCGGGTGGTCGTGCGCGACCACGCCAGGTTCCAAGGGGGTTCGGTCCAGGGGGGGACCACGTCGTCCCAGGGGGGTCGGTCCAAAGAGGATCCGAACCAAGTGGGATCACGGGGGGTTCGGTCCAGGGGGGGACCACGTCGTCCCAGGGGGTTCGGTCCAAAGAGGATCCGAACCAAGTGGGACCACGGTTCCAGCAAGGGGTTCGGCCCAGGGGTTCGGGCTAGGGGTTCGAGCAAGGCGTTCGGCCCAGGGGTTCGGGCTAGGGGTTCGGCGCGGAGGGGAATTGAACCAAGTGGGAACACCCCGGCCCAGGGGGGGGTGGTAAGTAGGACCACGCCACGGACCAGGGGGTCGTCCGTAACCACGCCAGGTCCAAGGGGGTTGGGTCCAGGAGGGGACCACGTCGTCCCAGGGGGGGTTCGGCCCACAGGACCACGGTTCGGGCCACGGGTTCGGCCAAGCGGGGATCCGAACCAAGTGGGACCACCACACGGACCAGGGAGTCGTAAGTGGGACCACCACAAGGACCACGGCGTCGCAAGTGGGCCCAATAGCGGGACCGAGTATAAAAGCAAGAGAGCTCACATGAGAGAGCAGATGGGTTATTGTCACCGTCCATATATATTGTCACATTGTGAATCAGAGCGCAAAAAAGGGGAAAGAAAAAAGGAAAAGGAAAAAAGGGGGAGGGGGAAGAGGTAAGGAAAGCTCCACCTGTTCATAACCTCTTACGTACAAGGCCAGCCACGTGGATGACAGGTTGAGCGCTGGCTGCCCCCATCCCCGTGTGTCACAAGGACCCACTTGCACGCAGCCAAAAGGCAAAGAGGTAAAGAGATCAACGTATCTTTTTTCTTTTTTTCTTTTTTTCTCTTTTTTCTTTTTTTCTTTTTTTCTCTTTTTCTTTTCTTCTTTTTTTCTTTACCTGCCCCCACCTCGGCAGATAGGACAGCTACGGTGAGGATGATGTGGATGTTCACAAGGATGCCCAAGGAGAGCTGCGCCAGCACAGCATTCTGCAGGACGGCTAGCACGAACCATCCCATCAAAACAGTCCTGACAGAGGACGTGTTGTCCACGTGTCAAAAACACGGCAGGACGTTCATCACAGTGCGGCATCATACAGTTCTGATAGCGTCCTTGGGCACAATAGGGACAACGTATATCTGGGTGATAGGGATGTGTACAATGAGGAAATGTTGGACACCCTTCAGGACAGACGGCGGCAGTCGCAATAGATTGATAATGGCTATGGCATAAGGGAAAAAAAAAAAAAAAAAAAAGGATAGGTCACCGTCAGATCTAAGCAATCTGGATGGCCCGCAAATGCGCTGAGAATGATAATAAGGACGCTTTTGTCAAAAATATTAATAATTAATAATAATTAATAATTAATAACATTAACAAAATGATCATTAAAATTTTTTAAAAAAAG